AGAAACTTTTTCAGAGATTTCAGAGATAATCAACCAACCTGTTCTAGGGAAGCACTTGCATGAATGTTTTCTATTAAACCCAGAATTTTTTCTTTCTTTCACTATATTGATGTGTGTGCCCCTTGTTTTTGTCAATGTATATTCAATTTAAATATCATCTAACTTTAATGAGATCTTACAACCACTACTATATCATCTTAATACAGATTTTTTATTTATAAGCAAATGATATAAAAATGAAAATAAGCTAATTAAATACTGCTCTAATTATTCCTACTAACAACATTAGCAAAACACACTTGGCCAATAAAAAATTCTAAATTCTAAACAGTAATTCATATTATAGCCAGAGCTGAACGTCTGATAAATTGCTTCCTTACCTAATCAGACTATGAAGCCAGGATTTGAAAATGTTCTGCCTTTTCCAATCTATCAGTCCTAACTGGGTCAGAATTTAAACAAACCAGAAACTCTGCTTCCTCATCTTCTAAGTTAGTTTAGCTGATTTCATTGATGTTAGGACAGCATTTAAAAGCATGTTTCTTATAAGCAATAAACTAGATCATTACATTTAAGTATTGCCACCATAAATCTTGATAATGTAATCAGCAATTTGAAGAAATATGTCACCTTTCTCCTTTTCCTTTATTATTAAAGTTTTCTTACTGTACGGCCATATTGAAGTGACCAGGTTCTCAGGTCAAATTAACTTGCAATATAACTTCAAAGCAATTTTGCAACTGGAAATAAACATTAAAAACTCTCTAAGTGTTACTGGAGTTTCTAGATGGTAGTAGAATAAATTTTGTAAATATTAATCCAACAAAGTAATAACTTGGTGTCCGGTATTCTAGGACCAAGAAAGTAAATATTCCTGATATGAATTTGCTATGTGTAAGGTTAACATTGCCACTACTGAACACAATTTTACCAGAAAACAATTACTAAAGCAGTAAGAAAAAGTGCCCAAGCTCCAGAGAAAAACTTTAAAACCTACCCAGGAAGTCCATTTATTTTAGAGAATTCACGATCAAATGCAGCTATAACCTTAAATTAACCATGATTACAATCAGAAAAGTTTGAATGATGCAAATCCAAAACCATGAATCTTCGGTTCTCCTTTTACTCTGAGCTGTAAAAGGTTAAGCTTCGTTTAGGCTTCTTAACTAATACTTCATCATGATTATAATACTATACTATTAAGCAAAAATCAAGAATAGAAAGAAGAGTGGAAGCTTGGACCCTACTTCCAGTGGAGGTAGTGGATCAGTCATCAGTAAACTGAGTTTAAACATGGGATAAGCACATGTCCATCATCTCACAATTTAAAAAAAATAATTCAAAAGGCAGACTAGATGGACCACTAGATTTTTCTCTGCAGTCAATTTTCTAGGTTTCTAGGTTTCTGTTTACATCTGTTAGTCACTTTGTTACTATGTCATGCATATGCCAAACGGCCTAGTTAAATACTGTGTATTTCTAAAAGCAAGCCAAAGGCATTGTAACTAAAACCAAGCCAGGAGCACATTAATCATCATTAGCTTTCATTTCAGGTTTAAAGATCAAATAATTGAAATGCAATTACTGCTACTAATAAAAACAGCATAATAGAGTTATGTATCAGCACAGAGGCCTTCGAAGGACGATAGCACACAAGCAAAGAATCGGGGAAAAAATAACAATTTCTCAGTACAGGTTTAGGTTTGATTTAGGACACAACTGGAGCCAGATTGTCTGTTAGAAGCCATTGCAGTCATAAATCAAGTCAGACCCGATTTTATGACAATCTTTATGGCAGTTGTTAAGCGGATCACCATAGCTGTTAAGCAAATCAAGCAAATCAAG